CTGCTGACTGCCATTGGCGATTGCCAAATAAACGGATCACAAGATGTAACAAAACAGATCTAATTAAAAATGGTATACCGCAAACATGAGGTGCAAAAATTTGTACACCATATCCGGATTTCGACAATAAATGTCTCTTCAGTGATGTTAGGAATCGAAACGGTATTTGGAAGGCCATATAATTTACCTCAATTTAGGATAGACTCTTGAATTTTGAAAGAGTCAAAATAGGATGAACGGATCATATAAACCCGAAGGCAAATATAATACAAGCCCAAACGAAAAAATATAAACAAGTCTAAATTGAAAACAACGTTCAAACCTATGATTGCGTTGGATAAAAACCGCAATTTTTATACGTGTGCATGCAAAACAAATTTCTTGGTAGATGGGTCTAACTACAGCACAAACAACATTTTCCAAAAGACCAAATGAGTGAAAAAGTATATTTTAACAAAACGCATTTGACTAGCAGGTCGAACAACTGATGTTCTTAAACCCTGCTGACTGCCATTGGCGATTGCCAAATAAACGGATCACAAGATGTAACAAAACAGATCTTATTATTAAATTATTACCAAACAGAAAACAATAAACTTGCGGAAAAGATGGTATACAGCAAACATGAGGTGCAAAAACTTGTACACCATATCCGGATTTCGACAATAAATGTCTCTTCAGTGATGTTAGGAATCGAAACGGTATTTGGAAGGCCATATAATTTACCTCAATTTAGGATAGACTCTTGAATTTTGAAAGAGTCAAAATAGGATGAACGGATCATATAAACCCGAAGGCAAATATAATATAAGCCCAAACGAAAAAATATAAACAAGTCTAAATTGAAAACAACGTTCAAACCTATGATTGCGTTGGATAAAAACCGCAATTTTTATACGTGTGCATGCAAAACAAATTTCTTGGTAGATGGGTCTAAATACAGCACAAACAACATTTTCCAAAACACCAAATGAGTGAAAAAGTATATTTTAACAAAACGCATTTGACTAGCAGGTCGAACAACTGATGTTCTTAAACCCTGCTGACTGCCATTGGCGATTGCCAAATAAACGGATCACAAGATGTAACAAAACAGATCTTATTATTAAATTAATACCAAACAGAAAACAAAAAACTTGCGGAAAAGATGGTATACCGCAAACATGAGGTGCAAAAGTTTGTACACCATACCCGGATTTCGACAATAAATATCTCGTCAGTGATGTTAGGAATCGAAACGGTATTTGGAAGGCCATATAATTTACCTGAATTTAGGCTAGATTCTTGAATTTTGAAAGAGTCAAAATAGGATGAACGGATCATATAAACCTTGGAAATAATTACAAACGGCGTAACTAATTATATATAGTGAATTATGTAATGCTTCTTGAACGACGAGTAAAATAAACACTCTAGAATTATATAGAAGTCAAAATTATGTTGACTAAGTCAGTCTTATAGTTATCAGAAACAAACACACCAAATTGACAACAGGTTGTATATTACAAAATGATTTTCTTATTTGGATAAAATGATTATTTTAATCATTAAATATTATAATAATACACAAGCCCGTGTTTATTCGAAATCAGATATTATTTTATACTTTATTTCTACTTTTAACTCAACGGATATCAATAATTCTGTATTGGCATGACTTATTCTTTAGGAATTGGTTCTATATGCTAATCTCACAACGATTTGAGATAATAATTTGCAGATTCAACTCATTTTGTTAATTGTGGGTTTTTAAGTAATCTTTAATTTGTCATTTTCAAATAGGATTAATAATGATTTTCTACTGATGCTTTTGTATTTGAATTTATCAAAGTCTACGTGTGGATACTTTCTCAACATAAAAGACATTGTAAATTTCGAATGCTATAGTCTTACATTGTAAGAATTTCTTCGATTTGAATTCTATTGCAAAACAATGATTTTTTTTAGGAAGACGAAGCAATATGAACAAAAAATCGTCTTTAAACTGTCAATAGAGAAGGAAGTCCTTTGAAATAATTACAAACGGCGTAACTAATTAAAATCAGATAATTCAGGATAATTCTTCTTAAGAATGCAAATCAGCACTGCGCTTTTCATATTGAAGTAATAGCATTTACGTGTTAACAACATTTTTTCTTCTTGTAAAAGAAAGTCTACGCTGCATTTATAAATGAATATGCATCCAGGACATAGAACAAGATTTCACTAACAGAAACTCCAGATGAAATCACAAAACGAAAGCTCAGAAGAAAAGTGAAATCGAGTGTTGTGATTGTGCAGTTTTTTCCCCTGTGTTTGTTTCACCCGCCAAGCAATAAACCACAGAGTATTTTCAAGATATCGTTAATACATGTTAGTTTGTCAATGAATTGATAAGATGTTATTCAGAATCCGGTACCAATATAACTGTGTAAACCGTTTTCTCGTACAGCATGCAGAGTTCCCTTACAATTAATGAGCTCTTATCAACGAGAAACTTGGTTGTATATGCATATAAAACACAGCAATATATCAGACTGGTTTGATGAGAGACGTAAAATATTTTTTTTTTGTGGAGAGTTTTTTTTTTGTGGAGAGTTAAATTTACTTGAGAAAAATCATGTATCGCTGCATCGCTGCATATAAAACATCTAAATCATTTAAATATATCTCTAATATTTTTTTTTACCCCAATTTGTTTGGTTTTATAACTTTGTAAAATATATTAAATATAAATGTATTCTTTGATAATGAATATAAGCTACATGCATCACTCCCATTTTCCTTTTTATCAACGTGTCATTTTTAACTGAGATTCATAATTTGACATTGTGAAATGAAGCATTTTGTTAATGTACATGAACTGCTTTCAGAGGATTTGTATTAAAGTAATATGAAACGAGTTTCTTATAATTTTAATGTTATCGAAATTATTGAACAGATCCATGTATATATACTAAGCTAAGTCCTACTTGCACGTTTTTTAAATATTTATCACGAATCTATAACTTATCATCGACAAAAAATATTTCATTCAGTGATTGTTGATCGCAAGCTAATTAACTTTCGAGTTTGTTGTCGAAGTTTACCGGATCGTGAAATTGATAAACAATCAACACAGAGCATGTGGAGCACGTGACAAATAAGCGAATTGATAGAACCATGACATTTTTTTAAATATTTTCCATACGTTCCAATTTGTCCCATAAGAATCAGATATTACTATTTACCTTCTAGTGCACGTTTGTTTACATTATTTCATCACAGTTTTCCCCTCGCACTTGCGCTGTGCGGTGGCCGAAATTCTAACGATAGGTCTTCTAGTTAAGGTCATGCATACGGAAAAATATCGGCGAATTAGTGTACGGGAAGACAATAATTGAATAGTAGTACATTTATGAAGATTTCGATAATTAAAGGATTTTCTTTTACAAGAAAGTTCACGTACACTTGTCTTATAGTAAAACTTAGCCATTCAAGTATATAAAACATATTCAACTTTTTTTTAATTTGAAATTTCATATGACTTTAAATTTTAATGATTACTGCTTCGTAATTTTTCTTATATTATCATTGTCAAAGCAGTCTATTTCTTATTGTTAAAGTAGGAAACGTCCTTAAAACTTGCCTCATGCCTGAAAATTAAGCAACAGCAGTGAGTGATAAAATTTAAATATTCAAGGAGATGTTATATAGCATGCATTTATCTAAAATCTGATCTGACTGGTAAGCATATCCATGTTTGATAAAATTTAAGTAAATATTCAATTGCAAGAAATGTCTAATTTACATATGAAGTGGTATGAAACATGTACCCATTTTTATGGTACAAACTTCCAAAACTATTTCTTTACAATTTATCAAAATTTCATTCAGGGGTGATTGACCGAGAACGCTAGCTGCTAATTAACTTTCGGGTTTTATTGCCAAAGTTTACCGATCGTGAACTTGATAAACAATCAACACAGAATCATGAAGCACGTGAGTGAGTTGATTGAGCGATGTTATTTTATATATATATATTTTCTATACGTTTCCAATTGCTAATTAAACTTTGTCATAACAGTTGTTAAATAATTTGGTGTAATAAATGTTTTCTTTCAGAATCAGTTAACACTATCTACCTTCCAGTGCACGTATGTTTACATTTTCATTCGTCACGGTTTTTCCCTTGCACTTGAGCTGTGTGGTTGCCGAAGTTCCAACAAGAGGTCTCAAGGTTAATGTCACTGCATACGAACAAGCTATTGGCGAATAAGAGTACAGGAAGACAATAATTCAATAGCAGTACATTTCTGTAGATTTAGATAAGATAAAGAATTTTCTTTTACAAATAAGTAAATACACACTTGTTTAATAGTAAAACTTTTTTTTTAATTTGAAGTATCATTTGACTTTAATGCCGTTAACTTTAGTAAAGGTGAGTGATCGTTTGGAATGATCCTAGTGTGAAATAAAATCAGTGAAAACACAGAATGACTTATGACAAGTAAACTAAACATTTCTTTTATGAGATTGATTAAAACATAGCTAATTTCACTTTGTTTTGTATTCTACACGCAAATGAGACATCTACATTCAAAATGATTCCTTTTGAATTTGTTTTATATTTTAGCAGTAAAGAAATTGTTTCCAATTTTATAATTGTCTTAGTATAAGTGTAATTACATTTTGTGAGCTTGAAATTTCAAAATTATAAACATAGCTTTCTTGTAATTTACTTTTCATTTCCTGTTGGTAAATATCATTGAAATATTTGAAATAAAGATAATTCATATAGCATGTTCACGAGACCATGTTTAAGATAGAAGGAGAAAACCTCGGAAATCAAAGAAGCCTATTTTTGTAAATATGGATAAATTTTACAAGCCTAGCTTTTAGTAAAAATATTTGGGTTAAGATGTATTCAATGAAACTCACCTTTTGCAGCAATTTATCATTTTAAAATTTGTATTATTGCAAAATGGACAACATATTTTACAAAAAATCACACAAAAAAGTACCAAGAAGTCAACACTTACAATTTTGGAACAATCAGATTCCATTTAAGCGTCCAGTTAGTATGATAGAAACAATCAACAATTTTCATGTAACATTTGTTTGTATCGTTCTGGTAACTAGCAGCACAACATCCATTTATTTGGCAGTGTACAGCACATTGTTTTACTGATATTGTGCTCAACGCCTTGTCTTTAAGTGACGTGAATCTTTTATCTTGTTCTACGTTAAAATGAACCGTCTTCCTTTGTAGATAGCCATCAGTTGTTCGCATTTTATAAGACAGAAAACAAAGATAAACGAGAATCAGCATATTCAAACTTCTTTGACAACCTCGAGATACACATGCAAGAAATTCAATTGGCAAGACAATTGTATACTTGTTGTATTCGATCAAGGATAATAAATCGATATGTTATGAGATCTATTAATGATTGATGAATTTGGAACATTAACCAAATATACGTAAATACTTAAAGGAGAAAATACATTTTATAATTTAACGTGCTTTTCAAAATATGTTTTGAGCTTATCTTTTCAATAGTAAAATATTGAATTAAACGAAGCTTGCGCTTTATGCTAATATCATTTTCCCAAAATAACTATGTTACCCGGTAAATCAACTTTATGTCTTCGCTGTAGTAAATGCACAGGGAACTACAGCTTCAAACCGCACTTCATTTTTTAACTAGCTTAATGTTAAATAATTTATTATCAATTTTAAATATTTCTTTTTATCAGTAATCAATATCATGTGTTTTTCGTTTTTGTTTGTCTTTGCTTGTAAGTTCTTTTTTTAGAAGAGTTCGGTGTTTGTGGTTGACGAGGTCTGTTGTACTGTTCATTATTTATGGGATTCATATTCTCCTTCTTATGTATTATTTAATTTGTTTATCTTCAACGGAAATATTAAGGTGCAGAAAAAAGAAGACTAAACGCGGTGTTAAAAATTAAATTTGGTCGAATCAGAGACATATGTATAATATATATATGTCTCTGTTGGAATAAAAATATGCATATGAAACACATCATAAACAATCATCTTTCGGGTGACCGAATCTTTTAAACGTACATTTAAAAAAGGATACTTCTAATAAATGACATCTTACGTATACGTTATTCGAATTTAGTGGGTAATAAAAAAAAAACATTCCGATTAAAACGAATTGCATTGTAATACCGTCAGGACAGTGATGTATTTTCGTTCAAATGTTAAGGGATGAGCCTTTACAAAAAGTGGCAGTCCGAATTCCTTTGTTTGCTGAAAACTATGTTCTACTTGAAAGGGGGAATTGTATGTATATACATATATACGAATTCGTCAAACCTTTTCCCCTAGATATAGAAATAAATACGGATATATGATAGCAGCGTTACCGCATGAAATTTTCTAGAAAGTATTTTCATCATATTTTCATACTGTATTATGATTTTTTGTTTGGTTGTAGTTTTTTGTTTTTGTTATTGACTATTTAGTTAATGCAAAGTTATTATATTAAGTTCTTTTCCTGTACAGATTTCTATTATTTGTTATTTTGTGTATCCTTTGGAGTATACTTCTGAAGATTCGAAGCGGGAGGATTCAGATACGTAATAAAAAATAATTTAATTTGGAATTTTATGCGACAGTCATACAAGTGAGAGGTTTAATCCACAATTTTTCTACCTAAGGAAATGCATGTACCAAGTCATGAATATGACAGTTGTTTTCCATTCGTTTGATGTGTTTGAGCTTTTGATTTTGCCATTTGATAAGGGACTTTCCGTTTTGAATTTTCCTTAGAGTTCGGTATTTTTGTTATTTTACTTTTTTTAACAGCAAATCTGAGGACTCATTTTGTATTGAATACCTAAACTTCACAAAATTCCGTACAAACAACGGTAAATTGCCGGCTAATCTGCATGTTCTACAAAGGAATTGTTAACTTCAGAATCGGTTGGAAAAGAAACGGAAATATGGAAACGTTTCCGATGTTGGTCCTATTGTTAGGGAATTTAAAAGTTGTGACGTCATTTGCAATATAAACAAAGAAACGCTATCATCAGGTAACGTTTTTTATCACATCAAAATCTGAATTAAAAAGATGTACATTCAAATGGTAAAAAGGACAGAAAACTCTGTTATTTTAATGTAAACAAGTTCGACCAGTTTCGAGTTGTTAAGGAACGGATCTGTATCATAACCGACAAGTGTTAAAATTATCATCAATAATGGTAATGACCAATTGACAAATGTTATATGACTTCATACATTTTTTAATCTTTGTGTCTTTTTGTTAAATATCAAACAAAAAACAAAATTAAATTAAATTAAAGCAAAGTCTACCATAAATTAGAAAAGGACACCAAAAGGATACAAATTTTATTGTTATTGTGTGGTTGTCCATATTCTTTTTGGTAATCATATATACATTTTCGGGAAATCGTTTGACTAGTCATCGTCCATCAACAGAACCGGAACAGGGCAAATGCAACTGTTGGAAAAAGTTAGAAAAAACGTTTACGATTATAATTTTATTAGTATATCGATTTTTTATATTGATTTTTAGTAGTTTAATTGATTTGCTTACTGTTATATAAGGTACGTCCATTTTACTCAAATCTCGAGCCTAAACGATACCGGAAAAGATTTCTGCGCAGATTCGGGAAAATAAAAAAAAAAAATAGAAAAAAAAAAGATAACGATTTTGAGTCCATTAGTAGATTGATTTTTTTTTATTTTTTTTTTTTTTATTGATTTTTCTACCGTAATTATGGACTTCGTCCCCATATAATAGATAGATAGAAACTTAAATAAGCAAACGTGATCAGCAAGTCAACAACTACTATTAAGACAATAAAGAGGAAACCGTCCAACGACTCCTAACTGGACTTATTGCTCATCAATGATGATTTTCACCATTTTTTTTTGCATTTTGCCTTATATGATAAAAATTATAATAGATAAGTAGACACTTTAAATCACAAAAATGATCAAAACTCGAATTTTGCTGATAAAGTTGGTAGACCATTACTCTTTATAGGAGTGATTGCCCTTAAATGAGGATTTTTTTTTTTTAACTTCTTTTGTGTTTTGAGCAAAAACTAAAGAAGATAGATAGAAAATAAACAGACTAAATGAACAGAGTACAAGATCAACAAAACCGAGATTTTTGTCATGAATTCTAATCTCGTCTATAATGTTGGAGAGTGTCCTTTATTGAATATGCACATAGACCAAGGTGAGCGACATAGGCTCTTTAGAGCCTCTAGTTGTTTACTATTAACAAAATATGCCGTATGGTATCCAAAAAGTAATAAATTTATAGCATATGCTACCATTTTTAAATTGAAAAGCATTGTGGATTATTTCTTTTAGACGATTTTTCAATTGCAAATGGGGGATGGTGGTGGTATACTGGGTTGAAAATCAAAAGTTTTGATAGAATTAATTTCAGAGAAAGATCAATTTAAAATTATCCAGAGGTTCTTTGGAGTTTTTTTAGAATCCACATACCACTACGCGAGTAAATAGTTTCACAGTATTTCTGAAAACCCCATTTCACTGCGGACAGAATTTTTGTCAATCTAATGAAAATTTTCCGTGAGTTCTCTTTAGAAACTCACCGCTGATCAATCGATGTTTGCATCTGTACAAAGATCCGTAATAAGCAGTTACATGTAGTAATCATCAAAAATCTTATGGATAACTGGATACCATAAGAAGAATCTATCTATTTGTTTGTTCTGTTATCCGAACATAAAGGCTTTTTAAAAACAAGTAATCTCACTTTTTCGGGAAAATTAACTTAAAATTGTTCTTATTATTTCATTTGATTTGTTTTCGAATTAGAATCGAGAATAATGGACAAAATGCGCAAAATAAATAAATGCGCAAAAAAAATTAATTAAGAATAGAGAAAAATAAGGCAAAAAAGTAAAAAAAAGAGAATAATGGGGCACTCAAATATAAAGAATAGAGAATAATGGGGCACTAAAATATAAAGAATAGAGAATAATAGCAAAAGATATAAAGAATACAGAAATGAAGGACCCCCAATTTAGACCCTCATATATTTGTACTACAAAATGCAGGATTCACCATAAAATAGAATATCAATGGGATTTTATTGATTTAGTTTTTGTTTATTTGACTGTTTGAAAAATATATGCAGGGAAAACAAAACCATATATGATCTTGTTTGATTTTCCTTAATCGAGTCTATGTGCAAATTAATCGGGGTAATAAAAATGTCCACATCAAAGAAACATTTAGAAAGGTGAATTAACTTGGTCATAGTACATTTTTGGTATTCAGCGGATTATAATAAGGTGCATACAAATTTAATAACGGTGATAATCAAAACTAATAAAATGTGTTAGTACACATTTTTGTTTAGGGGCCAGCTAAAGCCCGCCTCCGGGTGCGGGGATTTCTCGCTGTGTTGAAGACCCATTGGTGGCCTTTGGCTGTTTTCTGCTCTTTGGTCGGGTTGTTGTCTCTTTGACACATTCCCCATTTCCATTCTCAATTTTATTTAACGAAACAATTAATAACAAAAAGGTTTATGTTATCACCGGTATATTATAAAAATAATTCAGAAATGCGAACGAAGACATTACTTATCGTGAAATTCAATGAATAAAGAAATAAGCATTTCATGACCATAACATTTTTGAAACGCAGCTAATTAAAAAAAAAAAAAAAGAATTTTTATAATTTAAATCTTTTAATAAAAGATTGAAAAAAATGAACTCAATCACAGAACAACTTTTCTTTTTCATATATTTTGATAATCACAGTTTATTAGTTACAAACTTGCTTCCAAAAGAAAAAAGAAGTGACACTTAAATGAAAAATTGAAAATAACTATTGACATAGATTTACTTTATTTTAAATTATAAAACCTTTCTACATGGAATGTGTCATTTACATCTACATATCTTCATAATGTTCCTACAGGTCTTGAGCAGAATCGACACAACTTTTGTTTTCTCCATCAATGGCTTAGCATCACAAGAGTAAAAAAATTAAAAATTAAACAATGAGAAGTAAAAAGAGAAATCAACTTCACATCACCAGACCTATTAGTAAAAAGTGTTGTACCACGATGTAGTGAATATGGTGAAGAAACAAAGAAAAAAAAAACATATCATGTCTAGCAACGTTTCCCTTGTCACATAAATTTAAACGAATGATTTTATCACCTGCTACATCCACTGCAGCCACTTGCAAACCCATTTCTTAATGGACATGCATCCGAAGGATATATGATGTATAATGAATTATAAAACCTTTGATCAGAGCTTA